TCTGTCAGGATTTCCTTCATAAACGTGGGTTTTAACCAAGTTGTTAAAATGCTCATTTAGCTGAAATTTGACAATCTAATTCTTTCCGTGATGAGATGTTTAAAATATCCTTTACCTAGTCAACAAAATTTGATTAATATCAGCATGGATGTTTCTTTCCCCATAGTGCTGTCTCTCTTTCTTAATTAGGAGTGTCCAAAAATAGCCTGTTTAGGTACTTCCCGTGCATTCCTCTCTCTGGGAAAGCAGCATTCAGTGTAAAGGTGAGACTTCAAACTGACCACAGCATGGACTGAGGTTTATAATTCAGTTGTTGAGTAAGTAAAGCACATCTTACTACGTGAAGATGCAAAAAATGAAATTAATTATAACGTTTTAGTGAGAAGTTGTTCTGGTCAATAGTAGAACCTCAGGATATTATGCAATGTTAAAGCTTTATGTATTGAAAACTTTAAGATGTAACTTTGACTAGCTTTAATCAGTAAGAGAGGTCGTCAGTAGAAGTGACAAAGCCTGGGACTTCTGGCTCTCGATCTAACAGGCTACCTCTCTGGATTAGCAGGGTGCTTGCATTCTCTGCGCGCCAAATACCAGAAGGAACATGCAAACGCGCATAAGTGAATGTTATTTTCCTACTATGCAAACCCTACAGGAGGATGATCGCATTATGAGGGCATTAGGCAAAAATTCAGGAATGAGATTCCTTGCCCTTCCAAATAATTTTAACTAGAAATGGTTAAAGACTTTGTCTGTACCTCAGTTTTATACCTGTAAAAGCTGGCTTCTATTATGTGCTTCTCACACATATTTTCTACTGGGGGCCTTCTGGTGCTCCCACAGTATGAGTATATTGGTATATGCATGCATTCATACATCTACTCTTTTTACATGCCACCACGTACAAAGGCTGAACATGAAATCTATCTAAGAGACATCAATTTTTAAACATCCAGCAGTACCACCTGCAATGCTAATCCTGACCTTCAGGCTTTTGCAGATACCTAGTGTAGATTGTGAGTTGGGAATTTGGCTTCTTAGAGAAGTGTGCAAGTAAATGCACGTTCTGTTTAGATTTAGATAATGTATTATCCGCTCTGTAGTTGCAAATATTTCTACGAATGCCAAAGTAATAAATTACTTTAGTGTTTAAAAACGTGATCTGTGTGTGGTGGTGGTGATCTTGTCACGGCACTGACTGTCCTTGTCTGCTGACAAGTTTACTAGGCTGCTTCCAATCTCTCTTCTTCCCAGTAAATTGTGTCCAAGACAAGTTGACGTCCCAGATACTTCCTATGAACTATACTGTGCAGATTGCATTTGCAGTTGTACTTACCTATTGATAGGACCGTAGCATAAGGAAAACCTTGTGCAGCACCTAAGTCAGTGTGCACTGTTAGCCCGTGGGAATAAAACTCTTTCATGGTGTTGCGATATGAACTAAAAGTTGATGCAGTAGCCCCATTTTATGGAGTGTAGGAGAGTTTATATAGGTTGGAAGGTGCATGTTCATTTGCATAAGGAACTGAAAATGATGAAGTGTCTGTGGTGTCACAGATCATTGTTATTGGAGCTTAGTCCAATAATCTTAGTTATCTTAGTCTTGCCCAACTGCAAAATCCCCACGGTAGAGCTGGACTTCTGCGTGGCTGCGGAGCGAAGGACTAGCACACTGACTGTCAGGTGGCCAGTTCACCACTGCTGTGAATTCTCCTTTGTCCTTCCCTAGTTATTCTCTGCTGATGTGGTCTGTGTTACTTGATGCAGGTTGTACTTCCCTTACCACTGTATAACAATTGCCATTTACTCAGGTTATGTGGCCTTACATAATGGGTGAGTGTTGGCTGAGTGTATGGTGAGTCTCAAGACCTTGCCATAACATGATGTGAGTTTCAAGGTCTTTGATATTGTTTAGTTTTCAGTCATGAGGAAGCTGAACTCTCATTTTGTGATGCCTTTTTCTTTCCCATCCATGGAAAGGTAAAAAACGGCTGCACCTAAGATTGTTGAGAAGCAAGCGGCAGAGGATTAGGATTTCTAGATTATTCTGCATTGGAAAAGAAGCTGTTGGAGATATACTCTGAAAAGATAACATATAATGAAGCTCTTATAATAATGATTTATACAATCACACTTGCTTGAGCTCTATAGTTTGCAATGCATCGTGTTCTTACTGCGTAGTGACTGCATGCACCTTCCAGTGGTGTTTTAGGAAAATATACAGTACTGTATTTCAGCTGCTCTTCAGTAACATTGCAACTTCAACACATCCAATGGCACAAAAAAGCTTGAAGACTGTTGAGCTGTAGTGGGGGCCCACTTTAGCATAGTATTCATACTTTCTAAATGCCTGTAAAGAATTTTACTTGATTTCATTAGCAACAAGGAAAAAGAAATAGTAATGTTGTTATTTTCAAGGATTCTTGTGTTTTGAAGGCTTATTGAAGAACACAGTGGTGATCTTACATAAATCAGAGAAAACAATAGATTTTTTGCGTGTTAAGACTGTCACTGTGTCCTTAGCTCATTCTGCTGTACTTGGATATTGAAAAGGACTTGGAAGGGGTGTAATATGGCATACAACAGTGTATGATTTATGCCTCTCTATATGGAGAATATAGTATGGGATAATAGCTAATACTCTGATTTTCAGAGATGCTTTGCACCGACAACCTCACCTGAAATGAAAATGAAAGTGGCAGCTGCTCAGCACAGCTGAAAATGGAGCCATGAACATCAGCTCTAAAACTGCATTCCACCGTGTTTACGGTTTAATGTCAGCATGTCAAAACTTTCTTGTTTTGTTATTTCTGTTACAGTGAGGCAAGAAAAACCATCATTATGGATGCACTTCATTTTTCATTTCAGCCTTCTGTCTCCCTCAGCCTCAGTCCACAAGTGAACTATTTTGGAAACTTGAGGGCAATCTGTTTAGTCATTTTTAAAGTAGGTAAGAAGTGGCGTGGGAGAGAGATTTTCCTAGTTTCTCCTGTTGTTGCTATATATTTTTTTTACAAAGCATAATTATGTCAAAAGCAAACAGCTGAAAAAAAGCAGAAATCAAGACCCAATTCATACAGGGTAGACAACTGTATTCACTTGGGCCCTTCAGTGAGACATTATAGATTTATTCTGTTTGAAGATCTAGTCCTCAGTGCATGGTTCTCTGTGCTGTGTCTAGTGATAAACCTGAGATGACCCAGGCTTTTTCTCTCTTGCTTACAACCAGCAGAATCTGAAAGTAGGATAGAATTTAGCCTTTCTGTCCCTTCTCTGCACCTGCGCGGAGAGGTTGCTCTGTGTGGCCCTGGCTCAGGAGCACTGCCTGGTAATTTCCTCTATTCTTGATGAAGGACTAAAGGTAGAGAGCTCAGCTTGGCTGTTAGAATAGAATTATTTTAAGGTGTCAGGTGAACAAATGTCATGCTGCTTTAAAGAAGTGTGAGAACTTGTGAAGAAACCCAAACAATATGAAAACAGTGGCACATATATATATATATATACCTACACGTATGTATATATGTATGACTTCTAGTTGTCTGCTGTTCAGTGTTCATCTCCCATTCCTGTTGCTATATAACAGAAGTGGGTGGGAGTTGAAGCTAGGAGACTGTGAGAATGTCGTGGAGGAGCAAAACACAAGGTTTTAGATAGGTGTCAATACAGGGTGGAAAGCAGGATCTTTAAATTAGATTTGTGAGTGTAACACAGTGGCTAGTGAAAATACTGAAATGAAGACAGGAGAATAAACCTTTGGTGATTTCTGCATTAGCACATCAAGACATGACACAGAGGGAAGGTATTTTCGGCAATTTTAGGAATATCTAAAAGTTTTCCTCTTTTCTTCAGGCTCACAATGTCAAGTGGAGCTGGCTTTTTTGGGTTAAGCTATATAAATATAAATACAGTATTAATAAAAACTTTATAAATGTAATAAAAACTCTTCACAGTGGCTGATTGTGTAATGTTAGATGTATAATTATGTGATACTGGAAGGTTTCACTGGGATTCATTCAGCTTGCTCTGTGCAATTAATTTTTGGCTCTTCCACACTGTTAATGCCAAATTCAAGCCAAGAAAATGACTTTATTTATCTGTAAGATGTATACATGCTGTCATTGCTTAAAAACCTTATATAACTAATAATTTCACTTCAGCATTTTCGACACGTTGAAGGCATATCCTCTGTCAGAGAAAATGGTAAATATTGAGACAAAATTGTTTCGTTATATAAGTCAGATCTTGAGAGGTTTCATGTGCAGCCAGTGTGTGGGTGTATGTGTGTTTGTTTATTTGAGTATATATCTGCCTACATAATCCTTCATCTTCTAGTCTACATATTTCCCTTGTCGAAAGCAAAATCATATTAAACACTGTTAAATAATAATACTTTACAATTATATAGTGTCTTTCATCTAAGCTTCTCATACTACTTTAGTTATTAATTAATGCTTGATAATCCTGGTATTACATAGAAAATATTCCTATTAATGATTAAACAGAATCACAAGATAATTAAACACTTGTCTATAGTGGCAATGCCAATCCTGTTTCAAAGATGTATTTATTTCGAGTTCACTGTCTTCCTGTAAAATCTCAGTAGACGTGAAGCATATTAGTTTTTATCTCAGTATTTCTGCTTAAGGTCAGTCCTGAAGTAGTTGCATGTGTACATGTGTGGGTGACTGTAACTTGCTATATTTAGATTAGTAACTGTCTGTGCTTTCTTCATCATTCTTTTTTTGGTTTGGGTTATTTGAGAGTCCTCTCTTGAGTCAACAAGCTTGATTGCAAGATGCACTTTTTTGAAGTGAGGACGTAGCCAATTAAGTCAGTCAGAAATGGAATCAGTAATTCTCATGCTCTCATTCTCATACCAGTTCTAAATACTCCACTGTCCTTTTGCAGGGTGGATGCATAATACAAAACTGAGCCAAACTGTCTCCCCCCAATTCTGAAATGTCTAAAAGCTATCAAGATATTTGACTTCTTTTCTTTTCCAGCTTAACCCACACTATCCAGAAGGTAATAATGAAGGAAAAGCTTTGGTAAGTGGAATTTATATGTTGCACATAATGTGGGAAAGACTGTATGTTTAATCCAATGCAGCCCAACATATGAAAGTCCTTTATAGCTTTCCTTTCACTTAGATGTCACGGCTGCTGGGATTGTTTTCTGTAACCTTCATAAGCTAGGGTGCAACTCAGTACTGGTGTTACAGAAAGTTTTCCCTTGTGTAAGACAAATGATAGGAAACTTTTGAATTCTGCATCAAATTGGCATTAGTTGGAAGCTGTTCTGCTTGGTGACTGCAGATATGAAATGTATGAATTCTTCTCAAATCAGATGTATTACTTCATGGCAAAACCTGTAGCAAGAAAACCACGGACAAGCAAGTCTGGTTTCTTATGTGCTGATAACGAAACAGAGGCTCTGCTAGTGGAGACAAACACCCTTGGGACATGTTTGTCGGTCAAGTGTGGCTCTAAATCTAAGAACACACTGAGACATCTTTTATGGCCTGTATTGAATACATGCAAGCAGATATTCAGGCACAGGCTTAGTCTGAGCCCTGCCACACTTCAGGCACCTCTAGCATGACATCTTCGCAAGGATCCAAGTTGTCCTTGCTGCAGTGTGAGTGGGTTGGACAAAGGCCTTATGCCCTTGGCCTAGAAGGCAACAGCCTTTGCCTTGTACAATGTGAAGAGCGTGCTGGCTAATTCTAACTAATGAGGCAAGGCCAGACATGTTGTAGCTTATCATGTGTGAAGGAAGTGAAGTTAAAACTCTGTGGGAATTTTATTGTTACTGAGACAACAAATAGTCCAAAAAAGAATCATTCCTCTATCAAATTCATGAAATTGCCTTGAAAACGCTAAGATCTTCTTAACAAAAAAAAGAAAAAAGTTTAATTTCTTTCTATTTGCCCTCTGGCTTTTTGCTCTTTTAGAGGACATGCTTTCAAGTTTTTCTTCTGCATGGAGAAGAATGTTTTATTTTCCATGAAATGAAACCCAAGATTCTTGTATAATCACATGCCTTCAGGACTGCAGTTTTAGTGAAAATGGAGACTTTTGTAGGAATTGGCAACATTGGTTTTCCATCTTCCCTTGTATTTGATATTAATGGTAATATAGCAATAAGAGCTGAGCTGTCCAGAGAAATGATAATTCTCTCTCATGAAAATACAGAAGTCCCACCAGTTGTTTCTCTTTTGTCTTGAAATGACATTTGGAGCCTTTGGAGCTTTCAAATGGAAATTGAGATAAGTTCTAGAAAATCTTAGTGAGTAGGATGCTTGCTTGGAAATGCTCGGGTTCATGCTCTTGCTTTGCGAACAGTCAAGCTTGTCTCATAGATGCGCATCTGCATTAACATGGTAGTTCACATCATGACGGCACTTCTTAATCTGATTTCCTGGTTATTCCTGATTTAAGGCACTCCAGTTCACTTTGCAAAGCAATCTCAGAGCGTGTCAACTTGTATTCTTTTGGATGAAATCAAAAAGATACATACATCTCTGGGAAGTATCTGCTGTGCTCCAACCCTTCCTGGCTGCTCAGCCCAGGAAACCAGACTACAGCTAGTCTGAAGTAAGACCTATGAAATGTGTATAGGGTAGATGTTAGGTCCTTGTCACCAAGGATCCAGTCCTACTGTACCACACTATACTAATTTAGTTATAGTATAGATTTTCCCACTGTAGCAATTCTAGTTCATCTCAATAGTTAAATACTCCCTGGACTGAGTAATGAAAAAGGCACAAGAGTAATCTGAACATGAATGTTAAAGTGACTTCTCTGACAGTTTGGCTTAATCCTCCTGGATATTGGTTTTGACCAAAAAACCTGATCAGATAATTTAGATTAGACAAATACTTCCAATGAAAATTTAATCAAAACTGATTGATGATCAAAACTGATGTCTCTGTGGAAATTTTAGTTAATGTGGTCATCACTTTCTTGTGATAAATGTTTTCTGAAAGAACTCCTGACAGCATTTGGTAACACCTCCGTGTAAATCCAAGCCTATAGGCACTTTTAGCATGGTAGAAATGGTTGAAAATAGCACAAGTCAGCAATGGCTATTCTAAGCCTTCATTCTGGCCTTGAGCAACTGAGCAGAAAACCTTCACATCCCTGCACAGGAATTTCTTTTGTGTTACAATGATGCAGTGTTTTGAATTATCCCTCAAAAGTACAAGAATCTTATAATATTTGGAGTTTTTTCAGGGCCAGCTATATCAATCTTGTATCCAATATGCACGTAATCTAGAGCACGCACTCTTTCTTTGCTCTGTGGTTTTCATCTAGTGTTTCTTCTGCCAGGTGTCTGCCTAACTGATTCACTGCAAAGGGATCTTCTTTTTCATCTTTTGAAGCAATTAATTTTGAAATACTGCCCATGAAGTAAATCTGCTCTAGAGGGGAAGGTGGAAGTAGATGCACCCCAGCAAAATTTGAAGTCTGGGTAGCAGGGAAATGGGAGATATATATTTGATACTTGAATCCTTTCAACTGAAGGAAGAAACTGAGCCTGCAGCCTGTGTTTTTCTTTTCTCTACTTGTCTGATGGATAAAAAGTTACCAGCTCTTTTGTCACCTGGGTTTTTAAAGGCAGTACAGCCATGTGTGTGTTTCATGCCAACCCTTCACTCCTAAATGTGCCATAGGGCTTCTTGTGCATGTTCACTGCTTGGTTTACAAGTCCTGATCACAGTTGCTTAGGCAACTGAATTTTAGGAAGCAGCGGTGGAGAAGGATTTCTCTGTGGTGCATTAGTGGGCATAGGCACCTGGGTTCTGCCGAAGTGCATCTCTTCTGCTTTGCCTTAAGTGTCTCAAAAGTCAGCGGATTTTGGCTCTGGAGAACATAAATATTACTGGAAGTCACTAGGATTTTTGTTTCCAAGCATTAAAGCTGTGTTTGGACTGCAGTCCACTGCTCATTTATGGGCTGGTTCTTGAGAATCCAGCCAAATTGTCTTGTGAAACACTGCTTTTATTTCTAGTAAAATTTGGCCCTACAATGAGTTGATGAATATTCTTTATACATTTTTTCTCATTTCTAAACTTTCAGAACTTTTTTTTTTAAATGGTAAGACCTTTCTGTGATTTAAAAGCTTTAACAAAAAAAGGCTCTTCATCTCTTGAAGTCTAGGAGATTGTAGTGTATTGTGCATCAAAACGGAGTAGTCTGCTCCCATTACAGCTCCCATTAAATCTGAAACTGGTATATTTTATGCTGCAAAGTAGTCTTATTATTTCTAATCACAGAAATGCACAGCATCCAGAAGAATGCTATAAACTTTGGAGAAATGTCAAGAACAGCTGGGAACCTGGCATTTGTTAGCGACTTTGTATTAAGGGCTATTTGGATAGGTACCTTCATTTGCATGCATTTTCATGAGAGTGCACTTAATCCTAACCAGTTCCACACTGGCTTTTATTATTGGAGATTTTTCTTAGGATTGAGGCTGGTATGCATTTACTTTTCTTGTGAAGAGGTTGGATGGTTCTATCATGGACTTTGACGTGCAATTTGATGTATCTCCTTTGACTTCTGTTTATCTATATTTATGAATTCCAAACAACTCTGAGATTTGAAGTTTTCTTTCTTGCTTCCAACCTAGGCGATATTTTTTCTGATAAACACTGTAAATTAATTTCTTTTTGTATTTTACCTTCCAGCAACTAAACTTGTTTAATTAAAATGTTATAATGTGGGACACAGGTGATGCAGTTTAAATAAGTTGAATAGGTTTGGGGAATTGATTGATTTTTTTTTTCCTTTTTAAAAGGCCTGGTTAGGAATTAACCTGGCAATAAACAATCTGGAGAAAAGAAAAAAAGACAAATCATCAGCTTTAAAATGGCTGCTTATATAAAGCCAGCAGCAAGACCACTTGAGAGGCTGGGGGGAGAAGGGGAGACACGGATGCCAGCAGATTATTATTATTCTGCCGCTGCACACAGGTCTGAATCAGCTCTGAAAGCGCATACATTGTTTCTTACAGAATGTCTCTGGCTCCCAACAACAGAATTGCAACGTGATGTCTCCGCTAAAAATGCGATGACTCACAAATGAGTCAACAGTGAAGGTGTTATAGGAGGCTAACTGCTGTGCTGTCTGCCAGGGCTTTGTAACATGCAGGAGCAAGACTGGCCATTAATTTACTTGGATTTCTTTTAATACAGAATTTTTTAAATCATCTAACCTATGGAGTTGTACTCGCATTACTGCTCTCTGAAAATGCTGGTTTTGTAAAAGCCTCCTCAACTGGGTTAACATATTGAGATACCACATTGTACTGGATTTAACAGGCATTTTCAGAACTCTGGCTGCTATTAAATTTAATTTCTGCTGAAATCTGTAGTGCAGCTTAATGTATTCATTCAGAAGAAGGGCATTATCCTTGTCTGTCTCTATGCCACAAGAGATGTCTTCACCAATTGGAATTGTAGATTGGGTTTCTAAAAGAAAAGGTATTTCAGGTCTATCAAGTTTTTGTATTGCTTTTTGCAGTTGAAATTAAGGCCCTTCCATAAACAAAAGTCCATGCAAATCTCTCAAGTTTTAGGTATGATACCCAGTTGAGATGAATGATGGGGATTTGGGATAGGTCACAGTAACTAGCAAATTATATTAAAAACGGTGAAGAAGGGCTATCTGATGGGCTTGATTATTTTGTCTCTGATTACAATATGTGATATGCCTCTATATACATTTGCCCTTCAAATTGCAAACACTGTATTCTGTCTGTGTTGGGTTTTTAAAACTCTTAAAAAATTGGTATGATGCACTGCAATTCAGTGGTGGTAGCCCAGGACTTTGCTGTGAGCCTGGATCTGTATTTCCACTCCTCGCCAAAATGGCTGTTTGTTTTCTCTAAGTAGGACTCCTATTTTGAACTCTCAGCCTTTGCTTTCCTAGACCAGTCCCACTGGGAATTGTGTCCTGGCTGCTGGCTCTATGGTAAGGGTATTTTCAGTTCCCTCTCCTGGCAAAATCCTGTTGTGCCTGAGTTGTGTGCTTTACTTTACTGCTGCAGAACTGGGGACTACCAGCTCTCTGCTCAGGTGAACACTTAAATTTTGTTAGGCAGAGTGTGCTGACTATGGTATTTGGACTGGGTCGTTCTTTTGGAAGGTGTAGGTCCAACTCCTGCCAGGCAGAAGAGGAGCTAAACGTGTGTTTCCTTTATCCTTCTGAGCGATTTAACCAGTGCACGACAGAGCGAGGTGATTCCACCTTCTTCACCTTGGACATGTATCTGATTTCAGTTGTGACAGCCTGTCACTAGTGTGTCAGTAGTTTGGGACAATCAAAACTGTTTTTCCCCCCTCAGTGAATTTACTATTTCCTGATATTGTTTTACCCACAGTTCTTGCACTTCTTGATACTCCTAGCATGTAATTCACTTGCTTTTTTTTTTCAAAGATAAGTCTTGAGAGTGCTTTCCTTGACTGTCACTGACCACATCACCACTATCTCTGAAACTGTTAATTGGCTTCCTCTTCATACTGCTTTAGGTTGAATTTTCTTTCTACATTTGAGTCCGTTTATGGTTCTTTTCCTCACTTCTCTTCATTGAATCCAGTTTTGCTGACTGCATTGTATACATTTCTTACCTGAGCAAATATAATCTTTTTTCATCTGCTTAGAAATGCAGTGCTTCTCTGGAGCTGATCATATTGTCTAATTAATTTGAAATAGTCTAATATTTTCCCCTCTTTCCACATCTTCATATAGACTCATCTGCTGATTCAGTAATGGCTAGGCTAAGTGCAGATTCTGGTGATTGCTTAGTAAATTTAATTAATGATAAGAAACGTTCTGTGTGCAAGTGTGTGTGCGTTCTCTCTCTCACACACAGAGACACGTGCAGATGCACTCAGACATAACTCTGTACTTAAATCCATGTATGTTCATATGTGATGACTGTTGCTCTGTCTCTCATGCACTCCTTATATGCAAGTTGTATTCAGAACTTTGAGCTCAGGGTCATTTCTTGTTACATGTTTTTTTTTCATTAACTAGCTATTAACATCCATAATCCAGGTGGGCTTGTGAGGCGTGTCTGAGATCCTAACATAACACAATAGGGAGAGTTCTGAGGATTGTGCAGGAGTCCAGTCTGAAACTACTGTACAGCTGTAGTGTAGGTCTGATTTTGCTTAGCTAAGCTTTGCTATGCAGTTAACAGTGTTACAGACACTGTCTTGCCCTCCGTTGAAGTAGACTTTCTTTTTAGAAAACCAGCTCTTGCTCATATGCCAAGTCTGATTTGACAGCTGCCAAGCCTGGTTGGTGGGATTTAGGCCTGGTGAGCCAACTCTGCTGCTCAGTAGCATCTATACATTTGCTGGGGAGACTAGTGAGTGAGTGGAGTCAGCCCCAAACTGCAGGATGGACTTCTCCGCAGAGCTGGTAGTTAGCATGAACTGCTTAGGCACAGGAGACCTGCCTTTGACTTTGCCTTCTGCCATGGAAACCTGCACATGTGCATACATACTCATGCTTAATGACCTATGGGAGATGATCAGACATTATGTCCTGAGTGAGTATAAAAAAAACCCTCAGAACAGAATACGGTTTCATATTTTGGTCTGTATTTTTCCCAGAGCCCCTGGGAAAAAAAAAAGCATAAAATTATGAAGTGTTCTCCCTTTTCATATACCAGCCTTTTCAGTTTGGAAATTATAGTAGAGTGGGTAGTTTCTGTGAAAGCCTAACCAGATTTGGATGCAAGTTATAGGAAATATCAGAAAGTCTGGATGCTGTTCTAGACTATCCTGTGCTATTTATCCTTTTACAGACCTCTTGAATTTTTTTTCACTTTTCTGTTTTTGTTTGGAAATTTGTTAGACTCTGACTCACACCTATTAAGTTCTTAAGAGGATTCTCTTATAGTTTGCCTGTCTTTCCAGTTTGAGTCTAATCCTGAGTTTGTAAAACAAAACATGTATAGAAATCACAAAAATGTTGGCTATTTTCTCAATCTTTGCATACAGGTTAAGTTTTTATGTGCAATTTTGTATAATAGTTTTGAGCGTGAGGTATGGAATGATGGGAGGACTGCCAGATAAGAGTTGACTCTTGTGCAAGACGCAGGCGATGGTTCCTCTTGGTCTCAGCACGCCTTTCTCAAAAACTAGTGACAATACTCTGATGACTAGATGAGCCTAAGAAAAACTCCTGAGAGGATTTCTTCCTGTTTTTTTCCTGCTGCCTCTATCCTTGATAGAAGTAATGGGATGGAAAGGTGTGATTTTTTTAGGCTTGATAATGAGAAAATGAATGTTTTGGAAGGATTCAAAAAATGCCTTGAAATGAGATGGTAACTAGCTATTTCTTACATAGTTTCACTCATCCTTGATTTTGTTGCTTAATCTCAATTGCCAGTATGAATAATCAAAGCTTTGCCCTTGATTATCCCTTATAGTTTGGCTTTAATTAAGGTACTAATGCAAACCAAGTACAGTCTAGCCTCTTTACATTGCTTTGTACATCTCTGCCCTAGTGGTGCGCTATAAATCATTTTAATAGTATTTCAGGTTTCCAGAGTTTGATTTTTCTCTTTTGGCTTTCTTCATTCGTCTTTTCCTTCTCCCCCATAATACATTTTGTGTACGTGAAGGGCTCTGGGCTGCCAGTGTCTTAATTGGTTATTAGTCTTTTGTAATATGTGTAACTCAGCACCTCAGAGGAGCAGCTTTTACTTATGCCAGTAATTCTGTTGGTTGCTGTGTGGTTATGGACACAGACTCTGAATTGGTCCTTCAAGCGAAGATATGTGCTTAGGGAAGGTAGCATTTGGAGTCTGTGAAGATGAAAGTGTGTAGGTTACTGAAGACAAAGATGACTGCTTATGCTTAGGGGTGTTGATTCACAAAATTCCCACAGACCTTCAGCAGATGGCAGGAGGAAGATCACCACTTGAGATTTGCACACTTCTTTTGAGGTGCCAGCACAATGTTGTAGATCTGTCACCTGAAAGCTAGGCCCCTTGAAGGGAGCAAACTTTTCCAGCTTCAGTGAGGACTCTCAGACCTGTGTTGGATCCAGCCTCCGATGCGTTTTCAGCCTGTGCTAAGATTTCTAATACAATCTAGCTGGTGCCTTGTGTGTCCCCCTTCCAGTGACAGATTGATCCTAGTGGAACAGCTATTCTGGCTCTTCCTGTTTGGAAAGTCTGCTGCCATGATTCTGACTGTATGAGAGGGAAAAAAAGAGCAAACTTAAAACAACAGTGGAATTAGGGAAATTGCTTACTTTTTAAATTCCCTCTCTTCAAAAAATCCAATTTTCTTTAGTTCTCTTCTTTTAACTTTGGCCCTTTCCAAACCAGTGCTGTGTAGTTACATCTGTTGGGAGTGAAGGGTCTGCAACTGCCACAGGCTTTTTTGAAGTTGTAGGTGTCAAGTAATAATGTATACAGAGCTCAAGTCTCTCTGTAGCTTGTGACCTGCTGTTGTTATAATGACTGCCTGAGACACCATGTGCCTGGGGCAAAGTGCATCCTTTGTGTTACACACTCCAAAGCCAGTCATGGTGCATTCTTACTGGAATGTTAAAAAAAAAGTACAATTCAGATGTGTTACTTGTCCGCAACGTAATTGGAGAATTTATAATGGGCCCTACTGCAAGCAAATAACCCTTGTGCCTAATCAGCAGAGAGACGGCGACCTTCCTGCTTCAAAGAAGAAACGCCAAGCAGGGGAGAAGATTATGTATACTTTGGTCTCTGTGCCACATGGAAATGACATCGCATCTCTCTTTGAACTGGATGCCACCACTCTTCAGAGAGCTGATTGCCTGGTTCCAAGGTAAAAAAGAAAGAAAAAAAGGCAAAAAATAGTGCTCCATTGACAGGGCTTCTTCCTAGTGTTATGCTGGTGAGTCAAGCAGAAAAAAATCAAACATGAGCAAGTATTATCCTTCAGTTAAAATTTGAGGAGTGTTCATGGATAAACCAGGGATGTATAAAACATGATACTGCTGCTGTGACTGGGTAAAATAATTATAAGGATAAAACAAGTGACACTTAAAGACACTCTGTGAAGAGAAAAATAATGGGCTAAATATTGCTATGATATATATGAGGACAGAATTGAGCCCTCTGTGCTGTTTGAAAAAAATGTACTGCTGATAGATCTAACTGATTTGTTCCCCAAAAAATTACATGTATGGTGAGCTGGGCTTCTGTTTCCCTGACAGATCACGATGCCACTGAACATGTTTGTTATTCAAATGAATTCAGCAAGTGGCTCCTGGGTTTTAATTGTGAATATTTGAAATTTCAAGTGTGTTGCTTAGCTGAGATTGGCTTGATAAGTCACATGGTGTTGGTTGTGACTGAATGGGCATGCAGACACTTGGGGCTAGTAGTTATGTGGGTGGATTTTAAAGCTGGGTACCCACAAATACTGATGTATGCAGCTTTGAAGTGTATCTGCTATGCTAAGTTTTGCCAGATAATTTGCTTACTTGAATACTCAAAGCCCATCAGCATGAAAAGGAGCGCGTGAATGAAGACCACAGTGAATATATTTAAAAAGTAGAATTCAGAGTAAAAATTGTAATTGATTTCTCAGCTCTGCTTTTTGATAATGCCACAGATTTTCATATGGAAAGAATTTAGAAGAATCTCATGTCTGCTCTTTGTTCACTTGATTTTCAGCTGAGAACTGGTACTGTAAATGCTTGCTCCCTGGAACAAGGTTTTGCAGATCACAATGGTGAAGCTGTGAAACCATGGTCAGTTTTCCTTTGTGGCTTTTATGCTGTGACAGTTTGAAGGGGTTTGTTACTCTGCAGGAAAAAAATAATAAGAATTGGTTTTATTCATGAAATGTATTTCTATTCAGATGAGATTTTGTAGCACCTTTCTTTTTAATTTTTTTTCTTGAAGAAATACTTTGCACCCAGGCTTATGTAAAAGCTTAAAAATGGCATCCTGCATAATCCCAAGATGCTGTTTGTTCTTGTTGCAGCTCTGTTCTGGGTGAGCGAGGAGGAGACAAGGGAAAAGGGTACTGCAGTAATCTTTTAGGTCTCACCCTTTTACTATGAGGGGCTGGTGTGATTCATGCTCTCAAGTCTCCTGTCATGATCATGCATTGTGTTGCATCCCACCTTGACCACTTCAGATCAGAAGTGATCCATCTAACCTGTTGTTTGTTTTGTTCTCCTTTAGGAACTCTTACGTCCGACTGAGGCATTTGTGCACGAACACCTGGGTCACTAGTACCAGCATTCCAATAGATACTGATGAAGAGAGGCCTGTGATGTTAAAGGTAAACACATATATCTTGGGGTTGAAATCCCAACCTCATTCCTGAAGTTGTCTACTGCTGATCTCACTTCTGACATATAAGATATGCATTGTAATTAGGATAAAGGTAAAAGGATTGCTTACCCATATTAAACCAAAACCTATTGCAGATTGGGACGTGCCAAACAAAAGAGGACAAGGAAGCTTTTGCCATTGTATCAGTTCCTCTGTCTGAGGTCAGAGACTTGGACTTTGCCAATGATGCAAACAAGGTTCTAGCATCAACTGTTAAAAAGCTGGAAAATGGAACAATAACGCAGAATGAAAGGAGGTTAGTGAGTTTTAGTTTTTTCCTGCCTAAACTGGTGTTTGGTTACTCGTGACATCATGACATGACAGTAGTAGGTGAGTTAGTAACATCCATGTCTACATAGAGGCAACTAGGAGAGGACACTTGAGTGCTGAGTGTGCTAGCCTGGGTTTAGATTTCACCTCTGCTAGAGCATTCTTGCTGCACCTCAGGCTGGTCTGTGTCTCTCATCTGTAAAATGGGGGTAAACGGCACTTCCTCTGCTCCCTGGCCACATAAATAAATGGGTAACTCCTGGGGCAATGCGAAGTGTCTGTCTTAATTTCCTTTGATAAACCACTTCTAAGCTGTAATGTGGGGGTCCATTGCATTTGATTCTCATGTACAAGAAAGCCCTCTGTTCAGTGGGCAGCATGGCAGGAATTTTGGTTCATGTGGAGTTCACTGTACCACATATTCATACTGCAAGAGCAGTAGAAGGAGGTCTCAGAGTCACTGATAAACTGTCCCAATAGTCCCTTTCCTTTCTTATTTCTATTTTTCCCTGTTCTCTTTTCCTACTTTACATAATTTTGGCATTTACCCTTTCTATTAATCCATGTTTCAGTTGCAGTGCTATTAGGATGTCTGTTCTTCACGCTTGTCCCTGAATTAAGGGATTTTGTTGTACAGTGTAGCCAAGTATATCTTATTGCCAGTGATGTAGTTCACTATTTTTTTTTCAGCTGTCTGTGGTTAAACTGAGTATTAGACAGCATCTCTGGCAGTGTTAATTTATAACTTTTATTCCACCATGCATCATATACAGCTTTTTTTCTGAAAAATGTTAAATTTTGGAGATAAAACTGAACTTTTGCTGCCAGTTGTCAGTAGCAATTAGGCCAGATGATTTAATACCAGGTGGAGGATTTATCCTAACAGGCAGATTTGTAATGGCTTAGATGTTGGTACTCAGCCTTGAAAATCTGATGGGCCATTTTCACGATTGAGTTGAACCAGAGAGGGATACAACATAATAAAGTTGTGACATCTCTATATTAGCCTTGCACTGCTGTGTCACTGCAACCCAGTATTGTCAAGTTTTGATGTTGACACATTGGTACGACGCATATGTAAAACATTTCAGAGTGGTTTTTGAATAGTGCCATTATTTGTTTTTTCCTGTGATTTCCTCTGGAAAAAATCACTCTTGTCTTTCCCCTTTCTTATCACCTCTCTGCTTAGGTAAGTAGGGATCTCAGCAGTTTATTTCTGGTTTCTCCATCCTACATCTGCCTTTCCTACTTTTTCTGTTGGGGGAGACCTTGCTATTCTCCACCAATGGGCTGAGACTTTTAAAGGTAAAGCTCACTCGGAGAGTTTTGCTGAACAGCCCAGCCCTCTTGTGGTAATGGAAGCTTTGTGTCTGGCTCCCAGAGATGACTTTGAAAATCTACTGAGCAACTCTCTGCAACTTTCATAGCATGCCTACAGGTTTAGTAATTATAGACTAGATGATGTTCAAATTCAGATGATGCTTCCCCAGGGTAGGAGACATGCTAGTATTCTTTCTTTTTGCATTTTCTGAACATGGGAGAGAAGGATTTACTACTGCCTCTGTCCTTTTTAGCACTTGCTTCTGCCAGCTCTTCTTTTGTGTAGCAAAGAGCAAGTGAAACAAATACAGTCATTTTTCAATAGTTTCTTGGGTCAGTAGGGAAATGTCTAGTGATGATATGTTCTTATTCCTTTAGTAAGTCCCTCATCTTGTTTCATGGACCCATGTCCATGATCAAGTATAAAGATCCTTGCTAGCCTGCATAAGAGTGTCTTTCAAATGTTACTGGGCCTTGAGGCCAGCTGGTATAGATTTTGGATTTCTGAATACTCTGCATCAATCCAACATCCTGTATTTTTCTCTCTTTTTCCCCCTGGTCGTTGCTTAATGCCTTGGTAAACATCCCTGTGATGGATTTAAGCCTCTGCTGAACTGAAGCCTGGAATCCTTAAGTACATGTCAAACTTAACTTTGCAGTGATTGAAGTTCCATTGCACTAGATAAAGCTTGTTCTGAAAGGTGATTTTCTTAATGAATCCTAGCAAGTGTTGAATGGCTGTATACAATAATGATTTGTCTATTCATTCTAGGTTTGTAACCAAGTTACTAGAAGATCTCATTTTCTTTGTTGCTGATGTGCCTAATAACGGGCAGGAAGTTTTAGATGTGGTCATTACCAAGCCAAACCGGGAACGACAAAAATTAATGAGGGAACAAAATATATTGGCTCAGGTATGTCCTACTGTATTTATAGCTTGCTTGTGTTTACAAGCAGATTGTAGGAGAGAGTGATTGGGGAAAATGGTATTTTTTGGGAACTTTGTTTATGCCATGTTGGGTTTGTGCCTGGTTGGACTGGGTAGGTATGATGCTCATCAGTCAAGGCTCTCCTCTTAGTCTATGAACTAAGATAGAAGCACAAGGGGCCAAGTCTGCTGTCTGTTAGTTTCTTGTGACTCTGATGACTTTTAAGACTATATTTGATAGTAAACGATTATTGAATTTGAAACAAGCTTGCTACATGGTCTGTCCTGCAGGTTTTTCCCTTATATGAAAAATTCTGATGCCTTTATGGATCCCTGACTTTGTATGAAGAACAACTTGCATGTAAATCATAATCAGTATTCTCTTCAAGTGGCTTACTGAAATTAAAAAAAAAATAGTGAAAAGGATGAAACTGGACAGCAGTCAGTATTTGCCCTCCTTTTTAATCTTTAATTTATCCCAAGTTAAGGCACTTAACTTACAGTGTTTCAGGCTGAGGATAGCAGTCAAGAGAAAGTAATGTCAATGAAGTTGGTGGGAAATGTAAAGCTAAATGCATAGAACGGTAATGTCTGAGATTGTTTATGTGCCCCACGCATCTACATATGACTACATGTTAGTGCAGTGATTCCCTTCTAACTTTGGTTGATAAGGCCCCTGTGCTGATCCTGTCAGAGGACATTTCCATTGACTGCTGTAAGTTAAGCAAAAATTTTTGTTTGATTTTTATTCTCAGTGGTTTTGATTTTTAACAGATATTTGGGATCCTCAAAGCTCCTTTTAAGGACAAAGGTGAAGGCTCGATGCTGAGACTTGAAGACCTAGGTGACCAGAGATATGCCCCATACAAATACATGTTACGGTTATGTTACAGAGTTCTCAGACATTCCCAGCAGGACTACAGGAAGAACCAGGTCAGTGGTCTTCGAGATAATTTTCCTTCTGTTTTCCATAATAATATATCCTAGGTTTGATATTGCTCTCTGCATTTCATTTCAGTGATAATTTTGTATTAAGAGGTGGTGAAAGAACTGAGTTTTGTGTAGGTTAGTAGTAAGAAAGAAGTCACTGTCATGCACTGCCTTATGCTGAAAAGCAGTGGTTTTGATTTGTAGACATTTTTATATTAATTGTCAGCAATTAATGTCACAAGTTCACTTTACACCTTCAGAGGCTCACACTGAGACTGTGGTCCTCTGCTTTATCCATGGGCTTTCCTATATTAAAATTATGCTCTTGGACTCTGGGTTGTGAAGTGGGAAGTTTGCGAAACTGTCTATGTTCTTGTTGCTTAAATATTTGTGGAGGGATGGCAGGGAATCAAACTGGAGGTTATTCTCTCAGGTAGCCTGATTTCCCACTGCTGGAGACTTTTATACTTCTAGGAAGAGAAAGTGTCCCTTTTTTTTCTTTTTCTTTCTTTTTTTTTTTAAGAAAGTAAGTAGTTTAAACTCTTAAGGAGAAAACGTGGTTGTTTTTTTTTATTTTAGAAACACCTTTTCTTCCTAAGAGATTAAACAACTTTTTAAAAAAAAAAAAGTCACTTTTTCTTCCTAACTCTTAAAACTCCTAAACTCTTAGGAAGAAAAGGCGTCTTTTGTTTTTTTTTTAGAAAGCAAGTAGTTTAAACTCTTAGGAGGAAAAGGTGTCTTTTTTTTTTTTTTTTTAAAACACCTTTTCTTCCTAAGAGTTTAAACTGTACGCAAGAGGTATTTCAGAACATGATGTTGAGCACTCTCTACATTACAGTGGGGAAAAACTGCACTTACTTTATAGGACTTAAGGGGCTGGAGATGAAAGATTGAACTTTTATGTGTGGTCTCTTTGTTTTCTTTCTAATGCTTTACTGAAATATGTCTGTCTTGGAGGGGGTGAGAGGGAGGAGGGAAGGCTAAGGAAAGAAAGAAATCTTCATAAAAGTTATAAAAACCTTTTGGTTTTCCCTTTTAAAAAATGGTTGCCATTTCTTGAATTTTGTATGTATTGTCATGGATTCATTCCTTTTGTTTATGAAAGACTAAGAAAGGTTAGTCATTCCTTATATTGAATCTGTTTTTTACAGTACATATTTTATGTGTTCAGATGTTCTTTTGTTCAGGCCAGTTCAGAGAGGACAGTTTTGAGGGTATTTTGATTGCTAATTGAGCTGGATGCTTCTGTTTCTAAAAGAAAAACATTACTGCTTAACAGGTCATCATGGGGATTTTAATTTTTTTCAGGAATATATTGCTAAGAACTTCTGCGTCATGCAGTCCCAGATTGGTTATGATATCCTGGCAGAAGACACCATCACAGCTTTGTTGCACAACAACAGAAAACTGCTAGAGAAACACATCACGGCTAAAGAAATAGAGACGTTTGTTAATTTACTCAGGAGAAATCGAGAGCCAAGGTTTGAAGTGGTTCACATAACATTCTTTTTCTGTATTGATAGGCTTTTATATTTGCAATAGCTGTGAATCTGCTTGCTATTCATTGTTTTGTTGTCTTTTTCTCCCAGTATAATTTTTTTTGACCTGCTAGACAAAAAAACACACGTAGTGTCATGCTAGAAAATATCAGAAATACCTGTAATTCTTGGGATTTGACCATATCTGCATTTCAGAACTAGAACTTTCTGAAAAGCAAGGTTTGTACATTACAGGTCACTTCTGAAAATTTGGGTTTAGTTCAGATTGGGGCAGAGAGAAACAAACACAAATTTTAATTTCTCACAACTCTTCAGCTCCTCTATGAAATGGCCGCTTGTTTTTGCTGATAATCTTGGTGCAAATTTCACAGATGTTGATTTTTCTAAACTTTTATTAATATCAATTTTCCTGCAGGTCCTGATTCCAGATCAGACCTGAAAGGGGCTTAGGACAGTGAAGATCCCAGTGAACATGTATTTTAGATCAGATTTTGTTCCAGATAAAAAAATTCTGGCCTTGAACTTCACTCAGTTGGAATTTTTTTATTAGCTTTTTAGGTCAGAATATAAAGGAAATTGATTTTTAAAATGGAAAATCTACCTTTTAAAAAATAAATAAATCAGATTTTCAGTTTTAAAATTACTGAAGTACTACAAATATAAGAAATTAATGTACTGAAGGCTAAATAATGTAATTGTGAATACATTACATCTTTCTGTTGGTGATTAAGGATACTGCTCAAGACCCTGGTGCTTCACTGCTTCAATTATTCTCTATATGTCTGCAGCCATTTTGCCACTTGGTAATCCCATTGCCTCTCCCATGCTAAACTGGATTGGATCTGGTCAGTACTAAGAGGAAACTGCATGATATCAGCTCCTTCTCAGTGCTGAAGGGTCCTAGTGTTTATTGACAATCTCGTGTCACTTGTTTCTGTGGTGGAGGATGCCATAGTATTTGTTGCATAGCTATGTTGTGCACCTGCTGTACATTCACTTCTTTACAGCTGAAGTCCAAGAGCAGTTAATGTTTGAAAAATACACTTTGCCAGGATGGTGCAGCCTGAACAGTAAAGGCTTGATCTTATGGCACTTATTTTCAGGGAGAGTCTCACAGACTTTTGCAGCACTGCTTGTGTGAGTACGAATTGTGGCAGTATGTACTAAAAGATGAGTGACAAAATTTAAAACCTTCCTGAGTTTTAGCTCCAACTAGGTAACTCCCCCAGAATTCTATGTAATTATATGCTGTTTACTTAATATTACCTTTATGTTGCAATATCGCTGTACACTGTTAATTACCTGTTGCTACAAAAACTTTGTTTCAACGATGGGTAAGATTGTTCCTACGTGTATACTAAAAGTGCTTTCTGTACTCATCGCTTGCAGTTCCCAGACTTCAGTGGGGAGTGTGGTCTGTGCTATCACAGAAATTATTTTCTGACTCCTTCTGGTAGGATGATCACCTATAGAGATTCAAACTATTGGATCCTTGAATGGGGGATCGTAGATGGTCAAATTTTTAACCTGAATTTCTAAGGAAGTGGAGTATATGGTCTCTGTGTGTGTGTGTGTGCTCATTTCTGCTCCCCCACCAGCACTTGACTGTCTTGGCTGGTTTTACCTACATTTCCTAAAGGAGTGGTGGACTCGGAGATAGACCGCTCCTACGAATGTCATGAAAAGAAAAAGCTACATAGTGGAAAGAGGTCCTTTTTATATTCCAGTGAGGCAAAGGCTGCAATGTGGACTACTGTTAATACAGTATGAAAGAGAGACAAGAAGCAAATACCTATTGAATGTCTGAACTGCAAGGAAAGCCTGAGCCTGAAGCTTGTTAAATATCAGAAGACCTAAATTCAGGAGACAAATTCATAGGAGACTGATTTCCATGCAAAGCTTTGCTATTTCTGGTTTATGTGGAATGATCTCTTTGAATACAGTGGTCCTGCCTTCAGGTCCTGCCAGATCTTCACTCTGTACTAATTGTTGGCTGTGATTTTAAAAGGCATCTTTAAAAGGTGGAGATGTGAACCCCTCCAGTGCAGTGGAGTTCCTCAGAGGGCAAATGGCTATCTCCACCACAAGTAACATCTCCTTGCTACTTGGGTTAGGAAGATGTGTGTTACCTGATGGGAAAGATGGATGAGAATGTGTGCTCTTGCTTTTGGTTCCTGACAAGGGTGAGGGCTTTCAGTGGAGCTCCCTGGCCAACCAAACTTAAGACAGTGTCAGCCTCAGGCTGCATTTAAGTTCTGGCACAACTCTTTGGCCTTTGATTTGCTGAGAAGCATCACGCTTGGGATAGTACTCTTTTCTTTCTCTGACTGATTGTTCAGCACCATTCAGGGTGGCTCTTAAAGTTATTACTCATCCTTATCATTTGTGAGTTGCAATAGTGTGAATTGGCAGAGATTGTATGTTGATAAATCCCATGATATATGCTCCCTTGAGCATATTATTGATGGATGCTAGAGATTTATGCTGCAGTGTTTGTGTGTAGCATTTTAAGGCACATGTTCTGTTACATCTGTGTTTTGACTGCAGGTTCTTGGATTATCTATCAGACCTCTGTGTATCTAACACCACAGCAATACCAGTAACTCAGGAACTCATCTGCAAGTTTATGCTGAGCCCAGGGAATGCTGATATTCTCATTCAGACCAAGTGAGCATCCACAATCAGAACATACCTTTTTGTTGTCTGCTCGGTTGTTATATTTGTAGCAGTTTGCTAGTAGCTCCATTGTGAATGGTTTGTGTCTGCAGGCTGGTTTCGACACAAATGGACAATCCCTTGGAATGCCCAGTCATCTCGGATGACATTGATGAAGAGGAAGTGTGGCTTTACTGGATTGACAGTAACAAGGAGCCTCATGGCAAGGCCATCAGGCACCTGGCTCAGGAGGCAAAGGAGGGCACAAAAGCTGATTTAGAAGTCCTTACATACTACAGGTAAAACTGAGTATTCAAATAGAAGAAAATGTAAACTCTCTGGTGCTATCATAATTGTAAACAGCCTGGTGCTGTTCTTATTCAGTTCATTTGCCAAATATCAAAAAAGGAAACCAGCTCATGCCAGAAACTGGGATTAAAAGTTTGTTTCAAGTTTTTCCTGTAACAAGTATCACAGTCTCTGCTGTCTATTCCAGACAAATCTTGAGTTTCCTTTGCTAATGACAGCTCTTCGTGTCTCTTTATCATTTTGCCTCTTACCTTTTATTTATTGGGCTTTATTTTTTAGATTATGCTGTCTTGGAAGCAAGGTAGGCTCTGAGGAAGGAGTGTCCTGAGAATCAGAGGGGAAATAGGATCATGGAACAGTGTCTTATGCTGATTGAAAACAAATAGTCCACATGCTTCAGCCTTCCATTGAACAATGCTTCCTTTGAGTTTCAAAGGCAGCCCAGTCTTCACAGGGGCTGGAGCCTGATGTTAGCATTTTTAATAGCAAGTTGATCCCTTGCTTAGCAAAGTCACTCTTGTTATTTTTTTAGGATTTATATCAGAAAGACTGACATCAGGCTTGTAAAGTGAGATTCGGAGCTATGTTGTTTCATTTCCAACTGGCTTCTTTGTATACCATGTATTATTACCTTTTTTTAAGGTACCAACTGAACCTCTTTGCAAGAATGTGCCTGGACCGCCAATATCTTGCCATCAACCAGATTTCTGCACAGCTGTCGGTAGACTTGATCCTACGATGTATGTCTGATGAAAGCCTCCCTTATGACCTCCGGGCTTCTTTTTGTCGGCTGATGCTACACATGCATGTGGACAGAGATCCTCAGGAATCTGTGGTACCTGTCAGATATGCCAGGCTGTGGACTGAAATTCCTACTAAGATCACAATTCACGAGTGAGTTGAAAGTGGTACAAACTAAAGTACAAAAGCATTTTGTAGAGGTCAGTTTCAGAAAAAAAAGGTTGTAGACATCGAATGTTGACACAACATGTGTGTGAAAAGGTATTCTGTTGCAGAGCATGAGCTATTAATTTTTGTTACTCTTGGAAACTTCCATGGGTAGCTTTACATGGAAATATTTCACTTTCATTTGTCATTATGTTCTTACAGGGAACAAGGTGGAGAAAAATGGAATGGCCTTTCCTCAGGCTAACCAAACTTGAATTAATCTAACTGTGTGTTAACATTACAGGTCTGCTAGGCTGGAACTCAGTTTTGTACTTCAAACTCAAATGAAAGCCACAGTGGGAAAGCCAGGATTTACAGTTAGGTGCAGCTATTGCCTCAGAAACAGTTCACAGAGGCTTTGGCCTCCATCCAGAAAAGTACTTAAGCACGTGTTAAATTTAAGTATGAGAGAAGGGCCCATTGACTTCAGTGGAAACCCTCTCTGGCTTAATTGATTTGATGGAGCAGTGCCACTGGGCTAGACCCAGACAGGGAGTATCTGGCTGAAGAAACAGAGGAAGAAGTACAGCAGACAGTATTGCTTCTGTTAGTGAGATGATGGACTGTTTTGATATACACGAAAAATCAGTCTTAGTTGGTGGTGCAAAGGAAGGAGGAAGCTGACTGTCCCAAGGTGATTTCCTGATCTGCTGTCTTGCAGAAACAGCAAACTCTGGCTGATGGGCAGAGAGGACAGTTGAGACTTAGTGACTTACTGAATTGCCATACCAAGATGTTGTCTAGGAGGTGCTACCTGCCAGAACTGTAGTATTTTCCTGTCTCTATTATTCCTGTTTACTGTAACCCTTCCTGGTACTGTTGGAAGGGAAGGTTTGTGCACCCTCTTTGTGTATCTACAAAGAATCAGATGACTTCTACCCCTTCTCCTTACAGAGAACTGACAGTAATTTTATAGCATTGTCGTGGGTTTGTTTTTTCTTTAGTGACAGCTAATCCTGATATTAGAGGTGTTTAATTTTCGTTCCTTGCATTGTAGGTATGATTCTTTCACAGACTCTTCGAGGAATGAAATGAAGAGGAAGTTTGCGCTGACTATGGAATTTGTAGAAGAGTACTTGAAAGAAGTTGTTAATCAGCCCTTTCCTTTTGGAGACAAAGAGAAAAATAAACTTACATTTGAGGTACTTCTCAGCTATCTGATGCTACTTATAGTATTTCTCCTGATTTCAGAGAAGTTGACATTGGTTCTTTCAAAATGAAGGTAGTTGCAGAATAAATGTTGGTGTAAATTGTCCTAAAGAAGCACTAGTTCCTAATTCCAGTGCTCTTGGTGCTGACTGTTACTGCAGAAAATAATACTACTGTCTGCTGTTAAACAACTGTATCTTTCCTTCCTTCTCCTAAGATGATTGCATTTTGGTGGTAGAAGGTGGGACGTATGTGGGTGAATGGCCATATGCCCTTTCTCTCCACATTAGTGCATTAGCATGCAGGGATTCTTCGGTATAAGTAAGAACTATTGTTGATGTAAGAAATGACAGTGAAGGAAATAACTCTGAATAACCTAATCCTGCATTTTTAATATGGTTTGAAATTCCTGACATGAACTTTATATAGGCCTAAATCTAGATTCAAATAACGTTGAATAAAGAAATGATGCTCGCAGCTTTTATAGTTCTTCCTCCAACCTACCTCCCAAGCTTTGTCGCTCCTGTCTATGGTCATCTGAAATCACCTCCGTTCAAACTTACCACAGTCGACTTACTCTTCTGACTTCCATCTTCCCCACAGCTGCTGCCTCCTTAAACAATTTCCTAGAGTCTTTCTTCTTGATCTTACATATTTTCCCAGATGCAATTGTATCCTTTCAAGCCTTCATAAATCTCATCTTGGTTTTCCTCTCTGTTGTAATTTGACTGACCTATTGTTTTGTCTAACACTGAAAAACATTGGATGTCACAGGGCTTAGTCCAAGGCACATTTAAATCAGTGGAAAGACTTGTGCTAATTTGAATGCACTGTAGATCTGGATCACTGTAAAAGCTGCTGTGTGAAATGCAACTGTATTGCACGACTGAATACCACAAAGGTTGCTGATACTTCATTTTTAATTTCATTTTCTCACAGGTGGTGCATCTGGCTCGAAACCTCATATACTTTGGCTTTTACAGTTTTAGTGAACTTCTCAGACTGACCCGGACACTGCTGGCAATTCTAGATATCGTTCAAGTTCCTATATCATCATACTTTGAAAGGTTGAGCAAGTTTCAGGATGGAGGTGAGAAAAGAAGCAAAACCAGTTATTCCAGTGTGTCATTCATTATTTAGTTTGGAATTAATTTATGGAATGTCTCATTGATCCTTCAAGGTTCTTTATTCACACACAAACCAACCTACAGGAATGTATTGCAGGATATGTAAAAATGGTCAGCTGAAAATGAACCTTTTGGAACAGAGCTGTAGCTTTCATGACTTCATGACTGCTCCTTTGCTTGTTTAGAACTGAACTTTTAAACCTGGATCCTAAGCCTCAGAGTGCCTTGTGCTGAACACCCCAAGCAAGTGCAGATAGCATTTGCGTGGGCACAGTGATTATGATGGCTCACATGTGGCACAAGTGTTTATTTGTCGTCTTAGCATTTCACTTAAAGGGAGAATAAGACATTACTGATCCCGCAATTGCAGAAGCACCAGATGGAAGTTGAGATGAGGCCATCCTCAGCATGTGTTTGTCAGTCTAGAATATTCTTTTATAACCCAGACCAGAGTTGCCTGTCTGATAACCCCAGAACAGTACTGTGTATCCCATTGCCTTTTCTTCCATGGCTTAAAACTGGGTTAAGAATGAGCATGCCAGGAAGGTGCTGAAACTTAGCAGTTTAGTTTTCCTGTGTGTGTGGAAGGCAGGTGTGACAGTCATGTGGGCTGAGGGTCCAGGAGACTGGCTGATCACAGAATCACAGAATATTAGGAGTTGGAAGGGACCTCGAAAGACCATCCAGTCCAACCCCCCTGCCAGAGCAGGATCACCTAGACTAGGTCACACAGGAACACGTCCAGGTGGGTCTTGAATGTCTCCAGAGAAGGAGACTCCACAACCTCTCTGGGCAGCCTGGTCCAGTGCTCTGTCACCCTCACAGTAAAAAAGTTTTTCCTCGTGTTCAGATTGAACCTCCTATGCTCCAGCTTGCTCCCATTGCCCCTTGTCCTGTCATTGGACATCAGAGAGAAGAGCCTGGCTCCTTCCTTCTGACACTCACCCTTTACAAATTTATAAATATGAATGAGGTCACCCCTCAGTCTCCTCTTCTCCAAGCTAAAGAGACCCAGCTCCCTCAGCCACTCCTCATAAGGGAGATGCTCCACTCCCTCGATCATCCTTGTGGCTCTGCGCTGGACTCTCTCCAGCAGTTCCCTGTCCTTCTTGAACTGAGGGGCCCAGAACTGAACACAATATTCCAGATGTGGTCTCACCAGGGCAGAGTAGAGGGGAAGGAGAACCTCTCTTGACCTACAACGGCAGCCCTTCTGATACACCCCAGGATGCCATTGACCTTCTTGGCTGAAAGATGGCAAATTCTGTTTTAATATATGGCTGGTGTAAGTGTTATTGCACTGCCAGCTGGCCCACAGCACCAAAAAGGATGAGTTGTCTTGTTTGAAACAACAATTATTTTGTATTTTCTCTGGGAGCCGTTTTCCTAATCATCATTTTGCTTGGTCACTCCTACCTCCTGTGTAAGTGTGTCATGCTTCATAACGTTTTTCTTCTTTGAGGTTCACACACCCTGGAGAAGTGTAGGCTGTCATTGTCATCTCCAAGCCAAAAAGTCTTATGCCTGGTTCTCTTGATCTGTCCTCCATCACCGCCAGTACACTTTAGTGAAAGCCCCTGCAAGTCTTTCCTGCAATGCTGTGCACACTAAGGCATGCTGTAGCTGGATGCAGTCCCTCATGTATCTTCAGACACCTGGGATTATGTTTTCCCTTTTTAGTCCCTGAAATACTGCATTGCACACTCTTCTTAAATGGATCTGGACACAGTTTGACTCCAGATACAATCTTGGCATATTGGGAGGATGGAACATGCAGATGTGGTTATTCTCTTTAGTTCTCTCTCTGCTCAAGCCTTTAATCTTGATTATACATCTCATTCAGTGTTTTTATCCACCTTCATTACCCATAAAATTGTGTTTCATCCTTAATTCCCTTTTATTTCTGTTGAAGGGTTTCCTTTCATGCTGTGTAGGAGAAGAAAGAACCACCCGTTAAGTGCAATCAGACCTGCACACAGCTATACTAATTTCTAGGGCAATTCCATGCAAATCAATGAATTTACTCTGAAATAAATGAGCGTGAAGGAATGCAGAAAATGTCACCACCATGCAAATAGAAGCTCAGGAGCCTTGTTAGTAACACTTAACCATTGACTGCAGCCTTGTTGGAAACTTCTGTTACATGTCTGGTTTTGTCTTACATTGTTTCAGCAAAAAAGGCATGGAACAAAGGTGGGATTTTCTGTGTGTCTTTGATCACCTTTGGCCTTTGTACAGATTCTTTAAACTTCTTTCTTGGCTGTAGTTGTCTCCATGGATGTTTATCTTTTAAACTCTGGACCAGTTCAGGTCAGGATGTGACAATCCACTGATGTTCTTTTGGACATGATATGTGGGTTGATTTTTTTTGTTTGTTTGTGTGGGTTTTTTGTTTTGTTTTGGGTTTTTGTTTGTTTGTTATGGTTTATTTTCCCTTTCCTGCTACTATACAGCTAGAAAGCTCATTGCTTTAGAGAGGGGGTTTTGCTAGCTCAGACCATTGTCAGTCATGTCTGCCTTCTCAAAGGAGACTAGAGATATTGGCTTTCCTCTCTAGGCTTAAAAGTAGGCATTGAAATTTTGCTGTGGAGAGACAGGTATTCATATGTTGAAATAGCTGTAAGACTTGCTGGAGAGTTCTTCTACAGTCTTTGGCAGAAGAAAAGGATGCCCATCTTTGGATGGTCATATCTTGTCTTCATCCTCCCTCTTTTCTTATTGACTGGTCAAAAGACACATAAACTGTGTATCAACTTTGCAGTTGAGACAGAAGGATCCTGAATGTTTCACTGCTCAGCCCAAGCATCTTACCATTCCTCCTTCCTTCTCCGGAGGTGCATACTTACCTACCCGTGGGCGGCATTAGGCTATAAAGATACATGTGTTGCAAGGATGCATAATTTAGAAGCAGTTTAAGCAGTCTCATAACTCCTATTTGCTACTCTTGAGCCCCCAGCTCATAGAACTTCATGCCTGAAGAACATACTTCATGTCTGAAAAACATACTGCTCACTAAAAAACAGGGAAGTACTTTTCATTAAGAAAAACCACACAAAACCTAATCGGCATTAACTTTACTTGCAGATTAAGATTAGAGAGGGAGTTCAAGAAGAAAGCACCAGGTACTGTAGTACTGATATTCTGGAGATGACTGCTGTGGCTGAAATGTCAGCTGTTTGTAACTTCTGCCTACCTTTCTTTCATGTGGAAGCCTGCTAGTGAGGAATGAATCAGACCATAGAGGCAGGTGTTTGGCTGGTGTAAGATGCTTTAGCTCCTGGGGCTGTGAGAGTTTGTGCCAGCTGAGTATTTGGCTCCACTCTTTCTTTTTTCTCTTTCTTTTCCTTTCCCCCTCTTTGGTTTGTTGGTTTGTTTTTTCTTTAAACCAAACAAACATGCAAACAAGCATTTGTTGGGTAGCATTCCTTTAAAATCAGCCTTGTGGTTCTCTTACACCCACATCTTGATTATGTCTTTGCTAAAAGCTAATGAGAAGGTTTTAATGAGGCCCTACACACACAGAGCCTTTGATCTGTCTGCCTTGCTAAGTACTGCTTAGCCGTACCTGAGGTGTGATGTGTTCACACTGAGCTAGAAAGAGCTGAGCTCAGGGAATTTGCGGGCTTGTGCTGTAGTGTGATCACTTGCTTCTGTGTCCAGTCTTTTCAGACTTCATGAACTTGTGCTTGAGCCCACAGTAAGGTGCAGAAAGTGCTTGTGTTTTCTGTCTGAGTGGTGGTGGTGGGCTGGGACTTCTGTGCCTATGCATGTGTTGGACTGTAGATGAGGGAGTCCTGACTTGAGTCTGGGCTTGAGTCTGTGTTTGACAGGGAGACTTTGCTGTATTAGGGTTGCTGGAACAGGCCTGTGTATGAGATGCTCATATGTCTTAATGATGTTCTTGTACTTTTTTATCTTCTGGGGGAAGGGGAAGGACCTGGGATCTGATTCTACATTGCTTTGCATCTTGTGCAGTTCCTTCGACCCAAATAAATATGACCCCAAAGGTACTAATGTTACCTACGTCCTGTGGAGTCTGAATCTACCTTGTCTAGGATCCACTAGGGATCGTGGGGAATGAACAGGCCAACAGAGACATCAGTCTCAGGAATTTTATATTGATTCTCCCCTCACTCTGACAGTAAGGATTGTTCACCAGGCAAAGCTCTAGGTATACATTGTTTTTCAATTTTATAGTACTTACAAGATTGGACATCAAAGGTTCCCCTTCCCCTTTTACACAGATATTCTTTCTCTCTATTATAAAATTGAGTTGTGGAGAACATCTGTTCATTGTTTTATTAGTTCTCTTTCTTGGCTTTTTAATGTCCCTTTTAACTTACAATAGCAATCTCTTAGGCTATTAAGTGAAAAGCATTAAAATAGAAAGTATCTCAGCCTGGTTTTTTGTGGCTTTTGAAAATGTGTTGACATTTTCTAGAACCAGAGTGGTCCGTTAATTTTTTTTCAGAAAGTGTTTTCTTATTCATAACCTCTGTAAAATGCAGACAGATGGATTGTTCCCTGCCCTTGCTCAGGGTGGTGAGAGTCCTCCCTCCAGTTAGTTAGGGGTGAGGGTGACTTCTTCCTGTCTTTAGAGATTACACTGTGCTCTCCCATATCTCTCCAGACCACAGCAAGGGTCTCACTCCACAGCATCCTCTCTGGCAGGTCCATTACCTGTGACATTCACAGCATACCTGTGAACACAGAGTATTGCAGGAAGATGACCCTCCAACACATCATTGCTCCAGGTTTACACAGCTTCTTTCTTATGGAAACTGATTACATTGATGTTCTTTAGAAAAAAAAAGTTAAGATTGTATCTGTTCTGATTTTGTTTACATACTGTGAATGTGAGTGTAAATTATTAGTTTTGGAGATTAGAAAAGTTGAGGGTGGTGGGTTTTTTTGTTTGGATGGGGTTTTTTTTAATCTATCCAGTCAGTGATCACAAATGTCT